GCCTCAGTTTATAGAGTAGCTGGGATTATAGACATATGCCACCATGCCCAGCTAATTTTGTATTTTTAGTAGAGACAGAGTTTTACCATGTTGGTCAGACTGGTCTCAAACTCCTGACCTCAGGTGATCTGTCTGTCTTGGCCTCCCGAAGTGCTGGGATTGCACAGGAGTAAGCCACAGCGCCTGACCAATAAACTATTTCTTTCTTTTCTTTTCTTTTTTTTTTTTTTTTGAGACAGTCTCATTCTGTTGCCCAGGCTGACAGCAATGGCGTAATCTCAGCTCACTGCAACCTCTGCCTCCTAGGTTCAAGCGATTCTCCTGCCTCAGCCTCCTGAGTAGCTGGGGTTACAGGCGCACCCACCACTAGTGCACACCGGCTAATTCTGGTATTTTTACTAGAGACGGGGTTTCACCACGTTGGTCAGGCTGGTCTCGAACTCCTGCCCTTGTGATCCACCTGCCTCGGCCTCCCAAAGTGCTGGGATTATAGGAGTGAGCCATCACGCCCAGCCCAATAAACTATTTCTTTTTTTTTTTTTTTTTTTTTTTTTTTTTGAGACGGAGTCTCACTCTGTTGCCAGGCTGGAGTGCAATGGACCGATCTCAGCTCACTGCAACCTCTGCCTCCCGGGTTCAAGCAATTCTCCTACCTTAGCCTCCCGAGTAGCTGGGATTACAGGCATTTGCCACCATGCCAAGCTAATTTTTGTATTTTCAGTAGAGACGGGGTTTCATCATGTTGGCCAGGATAATCTCAATCCCCTGGACCTTGTGATCCCCCCACCTCAGCCTCCCAAAGTGCAGGGATTACAGGTATTAGCCGCAGCCAATAAACTATTTATCTGGGTGAGGCTTACATTGTTTGTTTCAAAATGATATCTTAAATGATACATTTTTCTGTACCTTTCTGAATCTGCATAATATTTAACAACTTAGGCTGGGGCATGGCAGCTCACACCTATAATCCCAGCACTTTGGGAAGCCAAGGCAGGCGTATCACTAGGTCAGGAGGTCAGAGCAAAACTCAATTTCAAAAAAAAAAAAAAAAGAAAGAAACCATGCCAGAGTTAGAGGCCACAGAGCTTCATATTAAGGCCATGGTTAATTTGTTTGAGAAGAGGAAATAAGGCAGGCCTGAAGAGTACTCTATGGATCATGCAGTAAACACTGTCAGGGTGCTGGTTCAGCTTATGAGGACTCCTTCTTTTCCTCTTTTTTTTTGAGACGAAGTCTCGCTTCTGTCACCAAGCTGGAATGCAGTGGTGCAATCTCGGCTCACTGCAATCTCCACCTCCTGTGTTCAAGCGATTCACCTGCCTCAGCCTCCCGAGTAGCTGGCATTACAGGCATGCACCACCACACCCAGCTAATTTTTGTATTTTTAGTAGAGACGAGCTTTCACTGTGTTGGCCATGATGGTTTCGATCTCTTGATTACAGGTGTAAGCCACCTCACCCAGCCTGGCTTTTTTTTTTCTTTTTTTTTTTTTGAGATGGAGTCTCGCTTTATCACCAGGCTGGAATGCAACTGTGCAATCTTGGCTCACTGGAACTTCCGCCTCCCGGGTTCAAGTGATTCTCCTGCCTCAGCCTCCTGAGTGGCTGGGATTACAGGCGCCTGCCACATCTACCTAATTTTAGTATTTTTAGTAAAGATGGGTTTCACCATGTTGGCCAGGCTGCTTTCCAACTCCTGACCTCAGGTGATCCACATGCCTCAGCCTCCCAAAGTGGTGGGATTACAGGCGTGAGCCACTGCACCCAAGGACTCCTTCTTCTATGAGAACTCCTTCTTCTGTCAACAGGGGCAGGATCTCAGCAGCTATGCTTGAACTCCATGACCTTCCTCTAACTCGTAGTTGATTATAGCAGGGGGAGAAAACTGACCCTTGCTGGACCAACCAAATTCATTCTACCAAGACAAAATTTTGAAGCACAAAGATGGCACTGCTCAGGAAGAAGGGGTCCATAATACCTGCTGAATAGGTCCCTTAAACACTCCTTAGTCCCATTTTGCCCAAGACCCACAGTGGATGCTATAAGAAACTTCCATAAATTAGTAGCACACTAAGTTGCAAGCTACAGGAACCCAGTTCAACTTAGTTTAAAAAAGAGCTTAACAATAAGGGTTCCTGAGCAAAACTGACAAGACTTTACCTAGATCAACCAATGAAAAAAGAGAGAAGACACAGATCACCAAACTTAGGAATGACAGAGAGGACATTATCGCTGACCCTTAATAAATTAAAAGAATTATAAGGGCATACAATTAACTTTATGCCAACAAACTGGACAACTTAAATGAAATGGAAACAATTCCAAAAGCTGAAATTAGCAAAATTAACTCAAGAAGAAATAGAGCTGGGCACGGTGGCTTACGCTTGTAATCCCAGCACTTTTGGTAGCTGAGGAAGGTGGATCATTTGAGGTCAGGAATTCAAGACAAGCCAGACCAACATGGTAAAACCCCATCTGTACTAAGAACACAAAAATCAGCCAGACGTGGTGGCATGCACCTATAAACCCAGCTACTCAGGAGGCTGAGGCAGAACTGCTTAAATCAGGGAGGCAGAGGTTGCAGTGAGCCAAGACTGTGCCACTGCACTCCAGCCTGGGCAATAGAGTGAGACTCCATCTCAAAAAACAAACAAAAAGAAGAAATGGAAACTTAATAATCTCTAACAAGTAAAAAAATTAAACGAGTAATTAAAATTTTTCCTATAAAGAGGCCAGGCTTGGTAGCTCACACTATAATCCCAGCACTTTGGGAGGCTGAGGCAGCAAAACTGCTTGAGTCCAGAAGTTAGAAACTTCATTGAGCTGTGATCATGCCACTGTACTCCAGCCAGGGCAACAGAGCAAGACCCTGTCTCTAAAATAAATATTCCTACCAAAAAAAGCACAGATAGTTTCAGTGTTTAATTATATGAAAGATTTTAAAAGAAGTAATAGGCAGAGCACAGTGACTCACACCTGTAATCCCAGCACTTTGGGAGGCTGAGGCGGGCAGATCACGAGGTCAGGAATTCAAGACCAGCCCGGCCAAAATAGTGAAACCCCGTCTCTACTAAAAATACAAAAAATTAGGCAGGCGTGGTGATAGACGCCTGTAATCCCAGCTATTTGGGAGGCTGAAGCAGGAGAATTGCTTCAACCTGGGGAGGCGGAGGTTGCAGTGAGCTGAGATTGTGCCATTGCACTTCAGCCCGGGCAACCGTGTGAGACTCCATCACAAACAAACAAACAAACAAATTAGCCGGGTGTGATAGCAGGTGCTGTAATCCCAGCTACTAGGGAGGCTGAGGCAGGATAATCACTTGAACCTGGGAGGCGGAAGTTGCAGTGAGCTCAGACTGCACCACTGCATTACAGCCTGGGCTACAAAACAAGACTCCATCTCAAAAATAAGCAAATAAAATATAATAACGATACTCCACAAACTCTTCCAGAAAATAGAGGCACACTTCCAAATTCATTGAGACGAGTATCGCCATCATACCAAAGCCAAAGATTATTACCAAAAAGAATAAAAAAGACCAATATACCTCATGACTATAGACATAAAAATCCTCAAAAAATAGTAGCAAACCAAATCCAACAACATATAAAAACCACTGTCATGGTTAAGATTAAGAGTCAACTTGATTGAATTGAAGGATGCAAAATATTGTTTCTGGGTGGATCTGGGTGTTTCTGGGTGTTGCCAGAAGAGATTAACATTTCAGTAAGTGGACTAGAAGAGGAAGACTCATCCATAATGTGGGTGAGCATCATCCAATAGGGGGCCAGTGCTGCTAGAGAAAGCAGGCAGAAGGTGGGATTAAGTCTTCTGGTCTTCATCTTTCTCCCATGCTGAATGTTTCCTGCCCTGGAATATCAGACTCCAAGTTCTTTGGCTGCTGGATTCTTGGACTTACACCAATGGTATGCCAGGGGCTCTCAAGCCTTTGGCCACAGACTGAAGGCTGCACTGTTGGCTTCCCTGCTTTTGAGGTTTTAGGACTTGGACTGAGCCACTACTGGCTTCCTTGTTCCTCAATTTGCAGACTGCCTATCATGGGACTTCACCTTGTGATCATGTGAGTCTATTTTCCTTAATAAACTCATATATATATATACATATACACAATACACACACACACACACACACACACACACACACACACACACACGTCTTATTAGTTCTGTCCCTCTAGAGGACCCTAATACAACTATATACCATATAAACACCATGACCAAGTGGGATTTATCCCAGGAATGCAAGGCTGGTTTAACATCCAAAAATCAATCTATGTAATACAGCATAATAGAAAAAAAACAAAAACGACATGATTATCTTAATAAATATAGAAAAACCATGTGATAAAATCCAGTAACACTCATAAAATCTATGAAAGGTCACAAGAAAATAGATGACATATTAAAAATAGAGTAATTTGAAGATGATATATTTACAAACTTGTGAGTGTAGAGGAACCACAAGGAACAGTGCAGGAACCTGAAGCTAGTAGAAGCTAAGCTGGTATTACCTCTAGGCCCAAAGAGATGAGGGGAGGGGACAATTACCAAAATCCAGAAAGGGAGAGTTATACAGAGTCTGCCACATTATAAGGTGCTGAGAGCTTCAGTGGAGAGACACAGCCAACAAAAGGTAAAAGTCGGAAAGCAACCATGATCAAAAGTAGAAGAAAGACACAAGAGCCAACCTTGAAGATGTAACTTCAAAACTAAGGAAAATCATACTCACTTCTGCTCAAAATCAGAATTTTAATGATTGACATTTCCATGCACTCAGAATGCTTTTTGACCGTAACATAATGTATAAAATTTACATATCTTACAGATGAGAAACTCAAAATAACAATGAAAAAAGAAAATACCCATAATTACTACCTCACTCATTATTTGTAATTTATTTTTTTCATACACAAAATGTTTACAGAGTTTTATATGAACCATCATTCCAGTTATATTTTTTTTTCAAGTTCCATCACTCACCTGGAATCAACCTTCTTCTCCATTCTCTGCTTAATCATTTTTTTGATGGAAATTCAACCAGTGGCTTGACATACACTTCTCAGTGAACAGATTCCTCATGAATCAAAGTCTTTTATCTTCCTCTTCTACCTAAATAAAAGAGACAGAAAATTATTTGTACTCACTCAGGAGCCACATTCTGAATAGCTACATGCCAGCTCCTAGTCTTCCGCCCTCTGTAATTCAACACTAGATTAACATGGGATAGGTCTCTGATTTAAAATATTATTTTTTAATTAAATTTTTAAATTTTTTGAGACAAAGTCTTGCTCTATCACCCAGGCTGGAACGCTGTGGCACAATCTCAGCTCACTGCAACCTCCACCTCCTGGGCTCAAGTGATTCTCCTGCCTCAGCCTCTCAAGTAGTTGGATTACGTGCACCTGCCACCATGCCTGACTAATTTTTGTATTTTTCAGTAGAGACAGGATTCCACTATGTTGGCCAGGCTGGTCACAAACTCCTAACCTCAACTGATCTGCCCACCTTGGCCTCTCAAAGTCCTGGAATTACAGGGGTGAGCCACAGCACCCAGCCTCAGTGTGGTTTTGATTTGCACTTCTCTAATGATCAGCAATGTTGAGCTTTTTTTCACGTTTGTTCACCACATGTATGTCTTCTTTTGAAAAGTGTCTGTTCATGTCCTTTGCCTACTTCTTAATGTGGCTTTTTCTCATAATGTTAGACCTTTGTCAGATAGGGTGCAAAACTTTTCCCCATTCTATAGCTTGTCTGTTTACTCTGATGATAGTTTCTTTTGCTGTGCAGAAGTGCTTTAGTTTAATTAGATCCCATTTGTCAATTTTTGATTTTGTTGCAATTGCTTCTGGCATCTTCGTCATGAAATCTTTGCCTGTGCCTATGTCTGAAATGATATTGCCTAGATTTTCTTTTAAGGTTTTTATAGTTTTGGGTTTTACATTTAAGTTTTTACACCATCTTGAGTTGGTTTTTGTATATGGTATGAGGAAGGAGTCCAGCTTCAATATTTGTATATGGCTAGCCAGTTCTCCCAGCACCTGTTATTAAATAGGGACTCCTTTCCCCAGTGTTGTCAGATTTGTCATAGATCAGATGGCTGTAGGCATGCGGTCTTATTATGGGTTCTCTATTCAGTTCCATTGGTCTGTGTTTCTGTTTCTGCACCAGTACCATTCTGTCTTAGTTACTGTAGCCTTGTAGCATAGTTTGAAGTTGGGTGGCATGATGCCTGCAGCTTTATCCTTTTTGCTTAGTATTGTCACAGCTATTCATGCTTTTTTTGTTCCATACAAATTTTAAAATAGTTTTTTCTAAGTATGTGAAGAATGTCAACGGTAGTTAATGGTAATAGCATTGAATCTGTAAATTGCTTTGGCCAATATGGCCATTTCATAATATTGATTTTTCCTATCCATGAGCATGAAATGTTTTCCCATTTGTTTGTGTCACCTCTGATTTCTTTAAGCAGTGGTTTGTAGTTCTCCTTGAAGGGGTCTTTCACATCCCTTGTTAGCTATATTCCTAGTATTTTATTCTTTTTGTGGCAACTGTAATAGGAGTTCATTTATGATTTGGTTCTCTGCTTGCCTGTTGTTGGTGTATAGGAATGTCTGCAATTTTTGCACATTGATTTGTATCCTTAGGCTTTGCTGAAGTTGGTTATCAGCTTAAGAAGCTTTTGGACTGAGATGATGGAGTTTTCTAGATATAGGATCACATCATCTGCAGTATGTCATTTTCTAAGAAAGGAAACTGAGAGGAGAGTGAGCCACACTCAAAAGGTGAACCTAGCTCTTTCTTCCTGTCTAGATGTTTCAGCACCCTCAACTTCCCTTCACAAAAACACCAGTAGAGGCCAAGATTTCTTATTTTTCCCCACATTAATTTTTATGGTTATCAGTGTTATTGTGTATAGCTTTCATTCTCTTTCTTTCCTTTTTTAAAGACAAGATTTCTGGCCAGGCACAGTGGCTCATGCCTGTAATATCAGCACTCTGGGAGGCCAAGGCAGTCGGATCACCTGAAGTCAGGAGTTCAAGACCAGCCTGCCCAACATGGTGAAACTCTGTCTCTACTAAAGATACAAAAATTAGCCAGCCACGGTGGTGGACACCTGCAATCCCAGCTACTCAGGAATCTGAGGGAGGAGAATCACTTGAGTCCATGAGGCAGAGGTTGCAGTGAGCTGAGATTGCGCCACTGCACTGTGGCCTGGGAGACAGAGTAAGACTCTGTCTGAGAAAATAAAAGACAGGATTTCCCTCTGTTGCCCAGGCTGGAGTGTAGCAGTGCAATCACGGCTCACTGCAGTCTCGACCTCCTCAGGCTCAGGTGATCCTCCCACCTCAGCCTCCCAAAGTGTTAGGATTACAGGAATGAGTCCCCATACCTGGCCTTTTTTCTTTCTCCCATTGTCATCCAGAGTCTCATGTTGTCATTCAGGCTGAAGTACTGTGGCACTATCACAGCTCACTGCAGCCTCAACCTCTCAGGCTCAAGCAATCCTCCCACCACAGCTTCTCAAGTAGCTGGGACCACAGGTATGTGCCACCATGATGAGCTAATTTTTTACTACTTGTAGAGACTGGGTCTTGCTATAGTGCCCAGGCTGGTCTCAAACTCCTGAGCTCAACTGATCCAGCCACCTTGGCCTCCCAAAGTGGCTTTTGTTGTGTGTACAGATAGGATTCCTCTCTGTCACTCAAGGTGGAGTGCAGTGGCATGATCATAGCTGAATGCAATCTGAAACTCCTGGGCTCTAGCAATTCTCCTGTCTTGGCCTCCCAAGTAGCTGGGACTACAGACAGGCCCCACTGCACCTGGCCAGTTTTCATTTTCTGTTTTTTTTTTTTAAGATGGAGTCTTGCTCTGTCGCAGAGGCTGGAGTGCAGTGGTGTGATCTCTGCTCACTGCAACCTCCACCTTCCGAGTTCAAGCAATTCTCCTGCCTCAGCCTCCTGAGTAGCTGGAATTATAGGCACACACTACCACACCCGGCTAATTTTTTTTCTATATATATATTTTTAGTAGAGACAGGGTTTCGCCATGTTGGCCAGGCTGGTCTTGAACTCCTGACCTCAAGTGATCTGCCTGCCTCAGCCTCCCAAAGTGCTGGGATTACAGGTGTGAGCCACCATGCTCAGCCATAATTTCTCAATTACACTTAAGTATAAATGGACAATCAAGAATCACAAAAAATTTGGAAAAGACATCCGACAAATAAGAAAGAGACCAAAATAAAACCAACAAAAAAACTCTAAGTGCTACCACCCATGATGAAATCTCGCTAAAAAACTGAACCTGGCCAGGCATGGTGGCTCATGCTTATAATCTCAGCACTTTGGGCGGCCGAGGCAGGTGGATCACCTGAGGTCAGGAGTTCGAGACCAGCCTGGACAACATGGTGAAACCTTGTCTCTATGAAAAAACAAAAATTAGCTGGGCATGGTGGTGGGCGCCTATAATTCCAGTTACACTGGAGGCTGAGGCAGGAGAATTGCTTGAAACTGGGAGGTGGAGGTTGCAGTGAGCTGAGATCACAACACTGCATTTCAGCCTGGGCAACAAGAGCAAAGCTCCATCTAAAAAAAAAAAAAAAAAAAATTGAACCTGAATATCATCAAGCCTCATCTAGAACTAAGTACAGTAAGTCCTCACTTAACGTCATCCTCACTTAATGTCATCGATAAGTTCTTGGACACTACAACTTTAAGCAAAACGATGTACAAAGAAACCAATTTTACCAAAAGCTAATTGATATAAACAAGAATTAAGTTCCTATAATGTATTTCTGGACACAAAACATCACTAAACTTCAAACGCTTCTAATATTAAACACTGAAATAAATATGAGCTACACATGCATGTACAGAAGATTCAGAAGAACAAGTAAGATAACTATTTTTTTTTTTTTTTGAGACGGAGTTTTGTTCTCGTTACCCAGGCTGGAGTGCAATGGCGCGATCTCGGCTCACCGCAACCTCCGCCTCCTGGGTTCAGGCAATTCTCCTGCCTCAGCCTCCCGAGTAGCTGGGATTACAGGCATGCGCCACTATGCCCAGCTAATTTTTTGTATTTTTAGTAGAGACGGGGTTTCACCATGTTGACCAGGATGGTCTTGATCTCTTGACCTCGTGATCCACCCGCCTCGGCCTCCCAAAGTGCTGGGATTACAGGCTTGAGCCACCGCGCCCGGCTAAGATAACTATTTACCCACTTATTCTAGTCAAGGCTAGCTAGCGTCTATCCTGGCAGCTCAGGGCACAGGAAGGGAACCCATCCTTGTGGACAGGACGCCATTCACAGCATTGCATAGTCACACACACACACTCAGACTGGGATCACTTAGACACATAAAGGAACCTAATGTGCTTATCTTGGGGACGTGGGAGGAAACTAGAGCATCCAGTGTAAACTCAGGCAGGCATGAGGAACATGCCAACTATAGACAGACAGTGGACCCATCCACTGCACTCCATGGGCATCAAGAGTGAAAATCTCAAAAAAAAACAAAACAAAATCGGCCAGGTGTGGTGGCTCACACCTGTAATCCAAGCACTTTGGAGGCCAAGGCGGGTGGATCACCTGAGGTCGGGAGTTCAAGACCAGCCCGACCAACATGGTGAAACCCCGTCTTTAAAAAACAAAACAAAAACAAACCCTTGCTAGCGTCCAACTTTTCTTTTTTTTGTTATTGTTGTTTTTGAGACAGTCTTACTGTCACCCAGACTAGAGGGCAGTGGAGCATGTCGGCTCACTGCAACCTCCACCTCCTAGGCTCAAGTGATTCTCCTTTTGGGTAGCTGGGACTACAGGCATGCACTACCACTCCTGGCTAATTTTTTTGGTAGAGATGGGATTTCACCATGTTGGCCAGGCTGGTGATACACCACTTCAGCCTCCCAAAGTGCTGGGATTACAAGCCTCTGCCCCTGGCGAGCTTCAACTTTTCTTCCTCATCTCTCCTAGCCCTCATAGAATTGAAGAGAATTAGGGACTTGCTTGAGATTAAGTTTTGGTTTAAGAGAATGTTGTGGCTGGTTTGATCTTCAATTCAGACCACTAAAACTTTCTCCACGTCAGCATTAACGCTGTTTTCTTTTCTTTTCAGACGGAGTTTCACTCTTGTTATCCAGGCTAGAGTGCAATGGCCAGATCTCAGCTCACTGCAACCTCCACCTCCCAGGTTCAAGCAATTGTCCTGTCTCAGTCTCCCGAGTAGCTGGGATTACAGGCATGCACCACCATGCCCCACTATTTTTTATTTTTAGTAGAGATGAGATTTCACCATGTTGGCCAGGCTGGTTTCAAACTCCTGACCTCAGGTGATTCACCCACCTCGGCTTCCCAAAGTGCTGGGATTACAGGCGTGAGACACCGCACCTGGCTGGCTGTTTAGCTTTTTTAATCACTGGTGTGTTCCCTGGAGTACCACTTTTAATTTCCTTCAACAACTTTTCCTTTGTATTCACACAACTTGGCTGTTTGGTACAAGAGGCCTAGCTTTCAGGTTTTCAGCTTTTGATGTGCCTCCTTCACTAAGCTTAGTCATTTCCAGCTTTTGATATAAAGTGAGAGACATGAGACTCTTCCTTTCACTTGAACATTTAGGAGCCACTGTGGGGCTATTAATCGGTCTAATTTCAATATTGTTGCCTCTCAGGCTACAGGGAGGGCAGAGAGGGAGGAGAGAAACGGAACTGGCTGGTAGGTGGAGCAGTCAGACAGAACACTTCAGTTTGCTGTCTTACACCTGTGCGGTTCGTGGCGACCCAAAACAATTGCAGTACTAACATCAAATATCACAGATTATTGTAACGATATACCTAAAATAAGAAGTTTTAAATATAGGGATAATTACCAAAATGTGAGAGACAGGAAGAGAGCACATGCTTGGAAAAATAGTTGCTTGGTGCAGGGCTGCTTGCCACAAACTTTTATTTTGTAAAAACCACAATATCTGTGAAGTGCAATATAGTCAGGTATGGCTGTACTCAAGTCCCTCACATCATTCAACAAATATTTACGACACATCTACACAGCAGTTAAATCCGAACGGCCTCCCACAAAATAAAAACGTGCACCCATCTCCCACCGGGAGAAGGCTTCAAGGTTTGTTTACTGCGTTAGTCCCTGAGCGTTCAGTGGGGCAAGGTCGCCCATACACCAGCCCTTCCGCCCCCGGGCCACGCAGCCGGGAGGAGGAAACCCCTGATTTGGATCCGCGCACGCTAAGGAGCACCAGCCAGGAGCGCACGAGACGCCTGGAAGGATACGGTGCCCTGGGGCGGAGGACAAGTCTTGCAGACGCGGCGGGAGAGGATGGCGGGCTCCCGGCCCCATCCTGTGCCCTCCTGTCGCGCTTCCTCCATTCCCACACCACAGACCCGCAGATAGGCAGCATAACCTGCACTTCCAAGGGAGGAAGAGGGACTCCGACAGATTTCACCTGGCCCAGCTCGGACGGACGCGACGGAGCTCCTTGCCGGGCTCACAGCCGGAGAGGCCGAGCCCCTGAGAGGCTGGGGACATTCGGGCCAGGTCTCGTACCTGGGGAAGCCGAGCCCTCCGGCCTTACGCTGGAAGAAGTCCCGGCAGGAGCCCGCGGTCCAGGACCCGCTTCTTTACTCCCGCGCGACCCACGCCTACCTCAAGGCTTCGTGCGCCTCCGGACGCAGGCCTCGCGACTGGCCCGCCCCTGTCTCCACGGCGACGCAGCGCGCACGAGGACCGCCCCGCCCACGAGGACCGCCCCGCCCAGACCCCGGGGTTTGCGCAGCCTCAGTCGGGCCAGTGGCGCACCTCCCTCTGGTCGCTTTCCAGCGGCCGCACGGAGAGTCGTTTCCGACCAGCACCGCTCAGGGCTCCTTCCCTCCTTGGCTCGCTCGCTTCGCTCTGAGCTCAGCTTGCTGCTGCTCCTCTTAGACGGGAGGAGTGGGTGGTGTTCCGAAGCGAAACCCCGAGTTACGCCGCCAGCGGCCAAGCACGGAGGATAAGGTTCTAGCCGGGAGGCGGCTGCGGACAAAAGTCCCCTTCCCTCACTTCCGGGCTCGTGCGTGAGCCTCTCCGGCTGTTAGTTCACAGGGAGCGCAAGCCGGAACCGTGGATTAGGACCCGCCCATGCGTGGACCTAGCAGGTTGCTACAACGTGGACTTGGAGGGGAGAGGTACCATGGCCCCCGAATTAGAAATCCCAGGCTTATCTCTTTTTGTAACCCTTCCTTTTAAAATGTAATTAATAAACGCTCCTTTTTGTGAAATTTTTAAACTTGAGCCAATCCTAATCATCTTAAAAATAGGCGTGGGAGGGGTAAGTGGGACGTTTTGAAATACTTTTCTTTTAAAGCTCATGTCTTTTATTAACTTATAGTTACTTGTCTTCTGGTTTGTTGAAACAGTAAGTCTAACAATATTTGCCACAATGTCTGTCAAAGTGGCTTGCCGTAAACACTCCAGCACCATATTCATCAGAAGGGCACTCTCAACCAAGGCGACTAATTTTGCCATTCTCATCCCCTTTATAGTATTTCAGGACAGCCAGCTTAACCTTCTTTCTCTTGTGCGTATTCTTCTTGGGAGTGGTATAAGACTTCTTCCTTTTCTTAGCAGCACCACGAAGTCTCAACACAAGATGAAGAGTAGACTCCTTTTGAACATTGTAGTCAGACAAAGTACGTCCATCTTCCAGCTGCTTGCTAGCAAAGATCAGTCTTTGCTGATCAGGAGGAATTCCTTCCTCATCCTGGATTGTGGCCTTTACATTTTCTATCTTATCCGAGGGTTTGACCTCGAGGGTGATGGCCTTCCCCCTAAGGGTTTTCACGAAAATGCATTTTGGTGGCGGCTCCACTGCAGATGGCAGATGGGAAAGCTGAAATCCTTTTTTACTGTGTTTTGTAAAACATTTGGAAGCATATGAGATTCCTGGTGCAAAGACTAAAAGCTAGCAGTAGTCATTTAAATACTTGACTTTATGCTAAAAACATGAGGAAAATTGTTGGGTGTCTTGGGATTAGAATCACAGATAATTTGTATTTTTGCCCTATTTTCTAAATGCTAATTTTAGCAATTAAAACATTTACTTTTCATTAATTTATTTTTTGAGATGGATTCTCCTTCTGTCGTCTAGGCTGCAGTGCAGTAGTGCAACCTCGGTTCACTGCCACCTCCACCTCCCTGGTTCAAGCGATTCTCCTGCCTCAACCTCCCAGGCTAATTTTTGTATATTTTTTGGTAGAGATGGGTTTCACCATGTTGGCCAGGTGTGTCTCCACTCCTGACCTCAAGTGATCCACCTGCCTCAGCCTCCCTGTAATCCCTCCGAGGGATACAGCCATGAGCCACCACTCCTGGCCTTAATTAAAACATAATTTAAAAGGAGTTCTACTTTATTGGACACCAAAGCCAATGTTTTAGGGACAACTTTTATCTGAAGTTAATGTGGCCAAGTAGTTTTAAAATAATTTAGTAAGCTTCAAGGCTGTAATTAACAGTGTAACTAATATATATTTACTGTAAATTTGGCCTAAGTACTTTTATATAATTATGTAAATTTATATAAATTATGTATTTAGGATAAGTCAATAAGCATTCTTTCTAGATAATTTGAGCTAATTTCCTGATTCTTTTTTCCTGTCATGTGCATTTACCATCCTCAGCTTTGACAAATTTAGGAGGGACGAAAGGCAATTCCATTTGAGTTACAATGAAAATAATGAGTCTTGTCAGGAAAGATCAGAAGATAATAGTATATAGTAATATAATAATAGCTAGGACAGCTTAGAGGCTGGGCATGGTGGGTCACACCTGTAAAACACTTTGGAAGGCCAAGCCAGGAGAATCACCTGAGCCCAGTAGTTCAAGACCAGCCTGGGCAACATAGTGAGATGTCCATCTCTACAAAATATTAAAAAGTTGGTCAGAACTCCTGACCTCAGGTGGCTCGAGCCTGTAATCCCATCACTTTGGGAGGCCAAGGTGGGTGATCACTTGAGGTCAGGAGTTTGAGACCAGCCAGCCTGGCCAACATGGTGAAACCCCATCTCTACTACTAAAAATACAAAAATTAGCCAGGTGTGGAGGCACGAGCCTGTAATCCCAGCTACTCGGGAGGTAGGTGCAGTTGCAGTGAGCCAAGATCCTGTCACTGCACTCCAGCCTGGGTGACAGAGCAAGATTCTGTCTCAAAACAACAAAGAAAAAACTTGGAGCAAGAAAAACTGAGTAGGAAAAAGCCCATTTAGAGAGGTGCAATCCAGCCTTCTGTCATGAGGCTCCTGAAAGGTCATGGCCTGGCATTAAGCTGTCTCACAGGTGCTCTCAGAATTTCTGGGTTTTTAGTATTTTCTTTTTTTTTTTTTAATTTTTTACTTTCTTTTTTTTTAAAGACAGGGTTTCACCATGTTGGTCAGGCTGGTCTTGAACTCCTGACCTCAGGTGATCTGCCCGCCTTGGCCTCCAAAGTGCTTGGATTACAGGCGTGAGCCACCACGCCCGGCTAGTATTTTCTTTTCTTTTTGAGACAGAGTTTCACTCTTGTTGACCAGGCTGGAGTGCAATGACACGATCCCGACTCACTGCAACCTCCACCTCCTGAATTCAAGTGATTCTCCTGCCTCAGCCTCCCAAGTAGCTGGGATTACAGGCATGCGACACCATGCCCAGCTAATTTTGTATTTTTAGTAGAGATGGGCTTTCTCCATGTTGGTCATGCTGGTCTAGAACTCCTGACCTCAGGTGATCCTGCTGCCTTGGATTACAGGCATGCCACCATGCCCAGCCGGTTTCTAGAATTTTTCTTTTTTTTTTTTTAGATGGAGTCTCTCTTTTGTTGTCCAGGCTGGAGTGCAATGTCATAATCTCAGCTCACTGCAACCTCCACCTCCTAGGTTCAAGTGATTATCCTGTCTCAAGCCTCCCAAGCAGCTAGGATTACAGGCATGCACCACCTCACCCGGCTAATTTTGTATTTTTGGTAGAAACAGTTTCTCCATGTTGGTCAGGCTGGTCTCAAACTCCCAACCTCAGGTGATGTGCCCACCTTGGCCTCCCAACATGCAGGGATTACAGGCATAAGCCACTGTGCTGGCCAGTTTCTAGCATTTTCATTTGCTTCTCTATTGTTCTTGGACTGCTAATTTCCCTGACTGACTGAACCTTTGAGACTCCCTATGCCAAACTTTAGGCCAACAATTTGGATCTAAACCAAGATCTTACATGTATTTAGTAAAATTCTAGAATAATTTGTCTCTCAAAGAGCTTTCCCAAATGGACATTTGAAAATCGATAATTAGTTGCAGAAGGGGGCAGTTAGAATTACAAATTATCAGCCTGGCACAGTGGCTCACACTTGTAATCCCAGTACTTTGGGAGGCTGAGGCAGGCAGATCATGAGGTCAGGAGATCAAGACCATCCTGGCCAACATAGTGAAAGCCTGTCTCTACTAAAAAAAAATACAAAAAATTAGCTTGGTGTGGTGGTGTGCGCCTGTAATCCCAGCTACTCGGGAGGCTGAGGCAAAGGAATCGCTTGAACACAGGAGGTGGAGATTGCAGTGAGCCGAGATTGCGCCACTGCACTTCAGCCTGGTGACAGATCGAGACTGTCTCAAAAAAATAAAAATAAAAAAAATTAGCCGGGTGTAGTGGCAGGAGCCTGTGGTCCCAGCTACTTGAAAGGCTGAGGCTGGAGCAGTGAGCTATGATTGTGCCATTGCTCTCCATCCCCCCACCAAATAACATAACCAGAGCAGTGTTTTTAATGTTATCTTTAATTCCCTATGCAAGCCTGAAAAGTAGGTATACTTGCTATCCCTTTCTGAAAAATGAGGAAAGGGAGAGCCAGGTGGTGAAATGACTGGCTCAGGTTTCACACTAATTGGGCAGAGCCAGGATTTAACATCTTCAAAGAACGGGCCTTCTCCACTACTCCAGGGAGTCTCCAAGACACTAAAGGGGATTAGGTCTGTTTCCCGCAGCTTTAGGAAGAATTTGGATTTCAAAAACAGCTTGATTTTTAAAATCATAAAACACCCGCTGTATTATCATCTACAACGTGTCTCTGTATAGGCTTTAAAAAGCTTAGCAGTTTTATGGAGGTTATCTAAGGCTTTTTACCCACCTTATTCTGTTTGAGCTTAATTGCCCCATGAACAGGTTATCGTCTTCCCAATTTCACAGGAAAGAAAACTATGTATAAATAAAAAGACTAACTCTCCATAGCTTATAGGAGGTGACAGAGATGAGAATGCAAACTCAGGCCTGATTTGCAAATGTTTCCCTCTGCCTCTTGTCTGCAAAAAAATAGTTTGTAAGAAACACACTTTATTCAGTAATGCAAACGAAAAGAAAAAACGTTTTCTGTTGCCAAGATTCACAAGAAGGGAGCTGAGTTAGTGGTCACTCACTGTCCATCACCCTAATTTCACAAAGTTTCAACAAAGTAGGCCTCTTGGAAGAAGAAAGGTAGCCTTCACTGTCCTTTAACCAGGAAAACTGCGTTCTCCTTCACGACCACATATCTCTTCACACCAACCACTGCGCAGTACCACAGGGCAGAAACAGGTGCTTGTGGTATTCCTTATTCCTGTACTTGGGACTTCTTCCTCAGGACAGCAGTTACCGGCACTGCTAACATACTTGCATTTCTGTGGCCCCCTGTCAGCCTGAGTCGCCACAACGTGGTAAGCGCTTGACATTGCCGTCTCATTTCCCCAACTACACTCGCACTTCTCCCTTCCGTGCGAGTTAAGGACAGATTCAGATTACGGGAGTAAAGAACATTTCAGTATATTTGTCAGTCGCCTTTTTCTCTATCAAAGCCAATCGTGATAACTTTGCCTATTAATGAAGCAACCAGTACTCTCGCGTAAGCCTCACAGATTTATTGAGAAGCCACTTTAGAAGAAAGAAACTTAGGTAAGTCACCTTTGCCTAAGATCACGCCACCCGCAAAACAGCTGAGGTTCGAACCCCAACTGGGAAGGCTCGGAAGACCCCAATCTCCTAAATCAAATTCCCTCTGCCGAAGCCCGACGGTTCTCTGCCAGTGCGAACCCTGCAAACACAGCGGTGGTCGCGCCATAGGCTGCGGTAGCCGCCAGTCCAGGCCCATCTCGTCGCCGCCTCTCCGGGAGAGTGGCGTGCCACGGGTCTCTGGACCCAAGTGTCGCCCGCTCTGCCCTGCAGCGTGCGTGGGAACGTGGCGGCGGCTGCCTCCGGGCTGCCCACGGCGACCGCCTGTGCGCACGGGAATGACTTTTCGCTGTCCCCGCCGCGGCCTCCTCATCGCCGCCGCCGTCTCTTCGCCGCCAGGCCGGCGCAGGGCCAGGCGTCCCGGCAGCGCGCTGCGATGCTTCTTTTCCGCCCGGCACCGCTGCAGCCACCTCACATCCGGGCGCGCGGCGGGGAAGGCGGCGCCGGGACCCGGGTGCGTGGAGGGAGTTATTAAGGGGGAGGGGGGCCGAAGGGGAGGGGCGGAGGGCCGGGCTGCAGTTACGGCGGCTGAAGAGAGACAGCCCGAGCGGGTCGGGGTGGGGGCCCGAGAGCGAAGGCTGCGGGGAGCGGCGCTGGGACCGGCGCGGGCGGTGGGGTGGGGAGCGGCGGCCGACGCAAAGGGCCGCCGAGCGGCGGAGGCACCGAGTAAGGGCCGGAGGCAGCAGCGGCTGGATCCGGGGCACCGCGCCGGCGGTGCTCGCGGGTGTAGAAGGGGCGCGGGCGCACTGCTCCCGGGGTCGCGTGCGTGAGCGCGGGCAAGGGCGCGAGGCCCGCAGGGCGGCTGGCGGGTAGCGGGCGGGCGGACTTGGGGGGACCGAGCCTCCCGGCTGGGGAGGACTGCGGCGGGCCTGCGCCAGCTCCAGCTCGAAGCGTCCGGGCCGGGGGATTCGGCCTCCCCGCTCCCTCCGGCCGGCCTCCCCTCAGTGAGTACCGTCCCCGCCCTTCCTCTGAACGAGGCCTCTGGGCCCGGGCCTCCGTGAGGGGCTGGGGGTTGGGGGTCGCGGCCCCGGGAAGCCGAGTTTTGGAGCTGAAGCCGGTGCTCGCCCTTTCCTTGCCATCGGCGCCCCTGACATGGCCACAGGTGCGGCTGGCCGGGCGATCGGCGCTCGGGCCCGGTCCCTAGTCCCTGATCTCCGGATAACAAGGGGCAGCTGGCGCCGTCCATTGGCAAGTGACAGGCACTTTGCAACAGCCCGACTTCGCGAGTTTGCAGCCCAACCAGTTTGCTACCTGCCCCTGCTCCGGGAAATTTCCCCACCACTATCTTGAAAGATACCCCTGGGCGGCAGCGACTAATTTTGGTTTCTCTTTGTGTTGAAGCTGCTTACAGGTTATACCTTGACTTTGGCACCTTCTACTTTTTACCCTGTTAATGCTTAGAATACTAAAATAACTATCAGCGATTCTATTTCACAGTTCTAATTTATAGCATAATTTTGGGGTGAGCACTTGTTTTTATCACTAGCAGTTTTAAGAGATTAAAAAATTTCAAGTTCTTAAACAGCCAAGATTTCTGAAAACTTACTGTTCTGGGTGACAGTTTTGTGCTGATTTATCTTCCAGGTGCAGAGCATTGTAGACCAAGGAGCCATGGATAGGAGAAGTGTGGGTGAAACAGAAAATGGAGATGCTTTCCTTGACCTGAAGAAGCTGCCTGCCTCCAAATGCTCCCATCGCTATACAAAAGTAGGCTTTGTTACTAATGAAATACTGTTTCTTATAGGTGGGGAAGTTAGTAACATTGTATACCTATTTCATTCCTGTTATCTAAAGTGGACTAAATGTTAACTAAATTTAGTAGAGCAGTACTTTGAACATTTTTCTGCAAGTGCAGATACCAAGAGTTTAAGCTGGAATTTGCTTCCAGAGGCTTTTAGGTGAAGGGAATGTAGGCTCAGATTTTATATAAAATTTGCAGATGAGTATGCTTTGGCATGTAAGTTCTATAACAGCTATGTAATTGCTATGTTATTGATTTAGACACTGTACTATGAGAATTAAAGCTCTGGGAAGCGTCACAAAGTTAGTATCCTCTGTATTGATGTTTCCTTGAGAGGCAGACTTCCCATAGGAATGCTCTTGAGTGTGCTTCGCAGGAGTAACTGGATTTTTCATTTTTTTTTTTTTAACTTTCTATTACAAATTGTATATGGACTCAGAAAAGTAAAGCTTCAGTCATATTTCCCCTAGCTAAAAACTAGAGATGCTTATACTGCTTGTCCAGATAATTGCTTTTGGGAGGGGGAGGAAATCTATTTATTTGTTTTATTTTGAGATGGAGTCTTGCTCTGTTGCCCAGGCTGGAGTGCAGTGGCGTGATCTCGGCTCACTGCAACCTCTGCCTCCCAGGTTCAAGCGATTCTTCTGCCTCAGCCTCCTGAGTAGCTGGGATTACAGGAGCGTGCCACCATGCCCGACTAATTTTTGCATTTTTAGTAGAGGCGGGGTTTCACCATGTTGATCAGGCTGGTCTTGAGCTTTTGACCTTGTGACCCACCTGCCTTGGACTCCCAAAGTGCCGGGATTACAGGCATGAGCTACCATGCCCACCTGGAAGTCATATTTATTAAAGATCTTGCTTTAATACATGTCTTGTTGGCTACCGAATATTTCTGAAGAGGTTGACAGGACTTGAATTTTAAATTCATCTCTGGGTCCCTGAAATGTAACGGGCTGGATCACATAAAATTGCTCAACAGTGTTAAAGCAGTTGGGACCACTGATGACAACAAAGGTTATATCCTAGTTGGGTCCACAGCTATATATTTCCTTAGTACTTTTTTTGTTTTGTTTTATACACGACAGGGTCTCACCCTGTCACCCAGACTTGTGTGCAGTGATACAGTCGTGGCTCACTGCAGCCTGGACCTCCTGGGCTCAAGTGATCTCCCATCTCAGTCTCCTGAGTAGCTGGGACCACAGCACCACTACGCCCAGCCAAAATTTGTATTTTTTATAGACGTGGGGTTTCGCCATGTTGCCCAGGCACACTCCTGGGCTCAAGCAATCTGCCCACCTTGCCCTCCCAAAGTGTTGGGATTACAGGGTGAGCCACTGTGCCTGGCCTCAGTCATGGACATTACCATGGCTTATTGTCCCTAGCTTCCTGGAACACTGACTGGTTAATGCTTTAAAGCTAGGCCTTGTTTATATACTGGTGCACTGCTCTTACCTACTTGATGAACTATCAAAGGCTGTGAGATTAATATTCATTTTCAGCACTTAAGAAAACTGAACCATTATAAGGGAAGAAATGTTTTCAGGTGTAAAGGGTTCTTGGTTGATTGCTGTCTTAGGCATGAGAGCATGTGAGTTGATAGAAAACTTTTTCCTGCATTCAGATTTGGTCTTCCCAAATGTATTTTCTCTCAAACCTGAGAGTGAGTAGTGTTTCACAACTTAAATTCATTTCCTAAAATGTTGACAGGTGAATTCTGAATGGAGAAAAGCTATCAAATGAAGGGAAATTAAAATCTTCCAGTACTTTTTTTTTTTTTTTTGAGCCGGGGTTCGGCCCTCTCACCCAGGAGGGAGTGCAGTGGTGCACTGCAACCTCTGCTTCCCAGGTTCAACCGATTCTCCAGCCTCAGCCTCCCGAGTAGCTGGGACTACAGGCGCACACTGCCACATCCAGCTAATTTTTTTTTATTTTTGTATTTTTAGTAGAGACAGGGTTTCACTGTGTTGCTCAGGTGATCCCCGTGGCCTCGAAAAGTGCTGGGATTACAGGTGTGAGTCACCGTGCCCGGCCCCTTCCAGTACTTTTTGATTCTAACCGGTCTACTTGTGGAGTCCAGGCAGAGAGGCTTTTGAATCATTTTCACACACTGATCAGAGGTTAGCATGTATATTTCATCTTCGTTCATATTTCTGTCTTTATGCTTAAGTCATTTTTAGGAAGATACTTTTCTTTTTTTGGTGAGATGGCGATTCACCGTCTCCAGCACTGGAGTGCAGTGGCGCGATCTTGGCTCATTGCAACCTCTGCCTCCCAGGTTCATGTGATTCTCCTGCCTCAGCCTCCCAAATAGCTGAGATTACAGGCACCTGCCACCACGTCCAGCTAATTTTTTGTATTTTTAGTAAAGATAGGGTTTCACTATGTTGGCCAGGCTGGTCTCGAACTCATGACCTTGTGATCTGCCCACTTTGGCCTCCCGAAGTGCTGGGATTATAGGCGTGAGCCACCAGGCCCGGCCAGATATTTCTCTTTCTTAGGGTAGGACTTAAGTTTGTTTGCCGTAAAGATAAAGAACCTCAGTATTGTCCATTTTTGGCAGTCAGCCTCAGAATTCTGTCATATTTAAATGTGCCTTAAAGAACTGGTTAGAAACGTTTTTAGCTTAATGGCAGTGGAGCTTTTAAATCTACCAAATTACTTGCAAAAAGGTTTACTTTCTACTCTAAGAGGATTTAGTTAATGACAATTTTAGGATGGTGTTTAGGCAGTGTTAGGGGATACTGCTTTCATGTTTTTCAACACTCTAGTAATTTTATGTGGGCCTTAAGGGTAACGAAGTCTTTTTCCCTTTAAAGAAAGCTTGAAATGATTATGTATTCTTAGCACTATAATAAATATTATGTTAGTACCACAACTGGAATAACATTCAGACCGTCCTGCTTCCTTGTCTACATACTGAGATCAAACTACTGGAATAAATAGAGTTTAATGATGTTTCTGCCATTTCAAGTTTATGGGCTAGAAGGTCTGGAAGCAGTAGAGAGAAACAGTTCTCATTAGTGATTTTTTTTTCTTTTAATAGGTTGTGTATTCTGTGGAAACTTGTAGCTGTGTATGTTTATTTACAGGGTGAAAAAACACATAGGCAAGATAAGAGGGCCCTTTAACCTTTGACCCTTCTTAGTGTTCAGTTGCTTTCTGGGATGATGTTAATAGTTTGTTGTTCAGAATTTGAAGTTTTTGTTCTTCCCCCATGAGTAGAAGAAGTGTAGATGTTTTGCTTTTCAGGGTAACATGCCAGTTTCCTTTTGTGTTAAGAAATCCTTTAGTTGAGCCTGCTTCTCAAATGTTAATATGCCTGGGGGATCACCTTTAGGCCTTGGGAAAGCGAATTCTGAGTGATAAGTAGGGGTAGTCCTGAAGATTCTGCCTTTTTTTTTTTTTTTTTTTGAGATGAGTCTCGCTCTTGTTGCCCAGGCTAGAGTGCAATGGCACAATCTTGGCTCACTGCAACCTCAGCCACCTCCTGGGTTCAAGAGATTCTTCTGCCTCAGCCTCCCGAGTAGCAGGGATTACAGGCGCCCGCCACATACCTCGTTAATTTTTGTATT